TATCAGGGAAAAAATTTAAAATATTGCTCTTACATGGAAAATGTGGACCCTAAGAAAGAGTGGGGGAATCACTCTCCTTCTCCCTCTCTTCATTCCCTACATCAACATTTTAGAATACTTTAAATTATATTACAGTCATCAGCCAGGGTAGCCTTTAAGTGAGGGGGGAAAAGGCATAGTACAGATGTACTTTAGACTTTTTTTTTTTTTCTCACTTTGTTGAGAGGAATTGGGGGCTGAGGTTCACAGAAGGTTAAGCCTCCAGGCTTTTATTGTTTTGATGTTAAGGTGGAGGTTGTTTAATTATCCACCAGCAGAGCCACTTTCTGCTTTCCTTCTCCTTATCTATGAGTCTCTGTTTAACCTTATATGAATTTTAGGAGTAGGAGCTCCTAAATTTTGAGATCGATTAGCCTAAATTGTTAAACTCCAAGGAAATCCCTGCTCATTAGTCCCATGGTGTCTTTAGATATGATTTGTAAACTCAGAATGACCATTTCTCATCAGATAAAAGCAAAATAAGTCGAAGAAGCTTATATGTGAACTCTTTATGGAAAAGAGGCCATGTTGCATTAATGTTTACATCCAAAAATCATATCACAGATCCTACTGCATAGTAGTCACTCAAAAATGTTTCTAAATAAATGAACGTTGATTTAACAGTTTGGTTAAACAAGCTAGTCAGGAAAGGATAACACAGGAAACACATGAAGAATAACTTCAACACTAATAAGGATCCATTAGTTAAGACAAATACTGGCAAGAAATGAAAATCCCTTCAAACACTTACTGTCTACATGATGTTTCTTGTATTTATTTTGATTATTTAACTCTAGTACAGTATCTAACACTTGCATAGTGATTGCCAATATCTGAAGCATGTTATAGACATAATTTCATTTAATCCTTCAACATTTTTAAATTGCCTTCAATTTTACATATTATGATACTGAGGCACAAACAGGTGAAGGGTAAATTACTGGTTATTTGAATCTAAAATTTGGGCTCTTTCTACCAAATCACATTGTTTGTTTTTAAAGTTTCTTTCTTTCAAAGATAATTTTCCATTTTTTTTTACATTGTCTAAATCAAATCATATAGACTGCTGCTTTACATAGAGCAGACTTTCAAATATTTGTTAATTTTGATTAACTGCATCCTGAAAAAGTAGAATTGGGGAAACAAGGGACAGGGACATGGGGTGGTCTACCTAGAGCCCAAATTGACTCAAAATCTCTACGTTAGATAGATAACATTATTTCAAGTACACCAAAAAAAATAAGCCCCCACTTTTCACTAAGACTGGAAATAAATAGAGAAAGTGTTGTCAATTTTCACAAAAGAGTTTTCACCGTATTTAACTCACTATGCCATCGGGAAGATTCAAGATAATTGAAGAAATGAAATAAACACTTACCTGCTCATTTCATTATGTCATAATTTCCCCTGGGTTGTATCTGTTCTATTACAATGCCATGGCTCTTGAATTACAACCTGTGTATTTCAATAGTCAATCAGCAGTTTTGTACTGTGAAAAGCCTGTGACCCAAGATAAGGAAGTAAATATTTGCTTTGTGAACCATAATCATTGTCTATAATAAAATTATATTTATTGACACAGGGATTTAAAAAAAAATCTCACATAACAAAGTCTAATAAATTCAGAGAGATTTTAGATGTTTATTACTCATGCTAGAATTCTAAGTATGAAATACTTATATAATTTCATGAAAAAGCCCACACATCTAGTAAATAGAATAAAAATTCAAATCCTTTCCTATTTGAAATGGGATTTTATTTTTTATCACAGCTCATTGCTTCTCCTATAGGGACTTCCTACCATTATAAATTCTAGGTTCCTTGACTCTGAATTGCTGAGGTTTTACTATATTTGATAAACTAGGACCACTGATGATTATAAAATGGTACACTCTCTCAGTAGCCTAATATCTAAGGACTTTATAGATTTTCCAAGCTAAATAATTAAACTTTTGATTTCAAATTTGTCAAAAGTCATAGAACTTAAAAATTCAAAACCAAGAGCTTACAAGGCCACTGAATCCTGTGGAACATTACAGACACAAAATTCATTAAGGGAACAGTTTAAATCCTTACCATTTAAATAATTAAATTAAACCTAGAGCTTAAAGTTTGAGATATGATTCTATCCTGACGTGGTTTTATAATTAAGCTTAAGTGATTTCATTCTGATGAGAAATCACAATTAATGTCCCTTAGGACCTCCTTCTACTCCCATCTTTCTTTTCAACTCCATTTATCTCAGGAGAGCTGAAAAATCCTCCTGTAACACTGGCAATTGGCAGAAACGATCCATGAAAATCTAGGAACTCTTCATACACAAGATTCTCTTGGCAAGGTGTTTGTATGCAAACTATTTAGTGATTCTGAACTTTTAAAAGGAACTGTGCAAGTTGGAAAGCCCAGGCACAGTGGCAGAATGTGAAGAACACCTTGGCAGCCCTGATCCTGTGGCGAATTCAGCCTTTTGGGTTTAGCCACAGTGATCTTTGTAGTCTTTGCCACTAAGCATTTCCTTCCTTTTGCTTTTGCCTTTAAAAAAATGAATATTAGCACTCAGACAAATAAGAAAAACTTACCAGAATACCAATGGAAACATGGAAAAAAGACATGAACAAGTCATCCTCAAAGACAAAAAAAATTGCTCAATGCATGTCAAAAAGTAATCAGCCTTATTAGTAACCAAAGAAATAAAAATTTGAAAAATATTATTTTTACCTATCAAGTTAGCAAAAATTTTTTTAAAAGATGACATTATGTCAGCCAGTGAGAACTAGATGTTCTAAGCATCAAGCCTAAAAGAAAAACTGCAACAGAGATAGGCATACAAAATCTAGACATAAGGATAAAAATCTCAAAATGAAAGAATGGTTAAGTGCATGAAGACATCAAAAGTCCCAAAACAATAAATGTTGGCATGGATGCGGAGAGATAGGAACACTCATACACTGCTGGTGGGACTGCAAACTAGTGCAATCTCTGTGGAAAGCAATATGGAGATACTTTAAAGAGATACAAGTAGAATTACCATTTGATCCAGCAATCCCATTA